TCATGAACTAAATATGTTCGTACCTAAACGCTTAGTTTCGAAAAGTTTCGCCTATCGATTATTCGCCTATTAAAATAGCCTTCCACCAGCTCTTTGCTAAAGTTTTTTAATTCCTCCTTGCGCCATGTTAGACCTCGTACCATATTTCCATCATGCGACTCTTGAGTCACCATGCTGATTGGTTCATTGCTGTACGCTGAATTTCCTATTCTTCTCTTTTCAGCAACATTCGTCACTACAGAGCCAGGTAATGTTGGGTTGCTCTCAAGTAACGCCATAATCGCCATCCCTAGAGCAGTGCGTTTTCGGTGCGATGCTTCACCGAAGCGAAGTTTCTCCCTACTAACTTATTAAAATTACTTGTTGTAACTATCGCGTTTTTATGATATGATTATTGTGTCATCAATGCAATAGACGGACGCTTGTCTTTTACCTTCAGGGACACTAGAGCAAATTAAACCCAGTAAATCTTAATGTTAATATTTTAGTCTCTGCTTAACAACATCGTATTTGTGTAAACTGTTCTTCTGTTCATTTTGCTTCTGTAGTTACACAAAAATTTTCAGACGAAAGTCTACTGGAAGAGGTACATTTATCTATGGATCAACTACGCAGTGTATGAAGAACTGGACGCACACAACGACGAAAACGCTCGTGAAATTTACAAAACATGTCTCGATTTGCTACCACACAAAAAGTTTACATTCGCCAAGATATGGTTGCTATTTGCTCAGTTCGAAATTCGACAGAAAAATTTGAACATGGCGAGGAAAATTCTGGTACGATATTTTTTGAGTTCTTTTACCGTCATACTGAAAAATAAATAAGGCATTGATTACTGAACAGAGCATAGGAAATTATGATTATTGCCTTGTGGCGAGTTTTATAATCACCGCAAAACTCTCTAAAGAGGGAATTTCACGGCACCTTCTCGAGATCATAGGCTTAAGTCAGTCCATTCAAATTCTTTCAACGGATTTCTACAGTTTATTCTTATATTTCTGGCGTTAACGTTATATTTAGGGTACTGCAATTGGAAAGTGCCCGAAAGACAAGTTGTTCAAGGGATACATCGATCTTGAATTGCAGCTGCGTGAATTCGATCGCTGCCGGATTTTGTACGGCAAGTTTTTGGATTTCGCGCCGGAAAACTGCGCTACCTGGATTAAAGTAGGCTCTTATTTTTTGTCAGCGTGTGTCATATTTTGTTTTTTCTACGCATAATCAAGACTTTGTTTCAGAATTTTAAGACCGATTTGTTTCCGTATGGAAATTGTTGAATTTTATACACTTATTCATTCATAGTTGAATACTCTCATTGTTCTCCTGTCGCAAAGACAAATGCTTAAGTTGATTTTTAGATTTTCACGATTCTCTGCTAATTGAACGAGCTCGGTAGCCTAGATTTCATGGCATAATTATGCTAAATGTTAGTCTGTTCAAGTCACCTGGGCTTGTATGTGGCATCTTGTAGTCATTTTAATTCTTATCACTGTGATGTAAATTCTTCATCCCTGTCCACCCTTACGTTGTTAGACTTAATAGTACTTCTCTTGATAATTACGCAGTTGAATCTAAGATGTGGCATATTCGATGCAGGCAACCACGTCAAACATTAATAATACTGTGATACTATCATGACAATGCGTTTACACTTGAGTCTTAGCGAAATTACGTATGAAGTTCTTTGTTATCTCTAACACCTACCTCTTGTAAGACATTTTTACTTGTTGCCGAACTCTGCTTCATGATTCGCATTTTCTCCAGCAAAGATCGGCTCATTTCCCCACAAGCTTTTTAAATATCGTATTTACTGTCATCTCTTCTGTCAAATGTGACAAGTCACAAGCGAATCGTCATTCATTTTCACTTGACGTCACTTCACTTACCATGACCATTACTCCTTTCTGTTCGCGAAATGTGCTTCCAGCGTTGCTGATACTGTGCCACAGTCAGAGTTTCTACTGGAGACAGTCTAGAAAAGACGCCCTCCATATATCTGCACCACGTTAATCTTGGTCGTTTCCTGTGCATTCTACCGGTCAGTTGTGCACGAAGTAGTTGCTTCGCTTTCCTTTCTGGAGCATATGCCCAGCTCATCGCAGCTGTGACTTCTCAGTCTGAGAAAAAACAGCGGCAGTGGACCAAGGCTGTCGCGGTTTTTGTACTACAGACCATGTCGAGACGCGTAACGCCAGCGTCTCAGTAAGCCTATTTTGACACTTGTACCTGAGACCGAAGATTGTCAGTCTTGGTGCACTTCATGAGGGGACAGAACACAACCTTAACGGAGACCGGTCCCAACGTCATTTACTCTCTCGCAGCCCCTGCTATCAGCGATGGTCATTGAATAGCCCGTAGCACTGGTTATCTTTCTCATATATTCGTAGCAATTGCAGTGTGACAAACACGTGTAAGTAGCCAGCACATGTTTTGTTCGCCTATTTCTTTGAGTATTTCAGGGCGGATTTTATCGATTCCAGCAGCCTTTCCATTTATTTCAAGATTTTCACACCTTGGGAGTCAGCTTTGGCTTTCGCCACTGCTTTCGCTGCTGCCTCGCGTGCTTCTACGTAATGAATGTCAGTTTAAAGTTTTTCGCTTCTAAGCCAACTCTTGAACGCAGCCTTCTTCACGCTGACAGCCAGCTTGACCCCTCTTATCTACCGTGAAGTTCGCTCCTGACCTCCAGATGGGAGGCCAACCTGTTTGAATCCCCACCATTCGGCGGCAGCCCTCAAGTATGCCGCTCTTATAGAGCTGCAACTCGGTTTCCATATCAGTGGTCATCACCAGGATCTGTTCAAACCGTCGTGCAATGTTGTTGGCAAATTTCTCTCTCGTGCCCACCGAAGATAGTCTTTCTCATTTGATTCTCTGGTGGCTTCTGCCACCAGATCTTCGTATGGTACTCCATTTCTTACAGTGCAGCGTGCCAACAATAGGGTGGTGATCGACAACAACAACAACAACAGAGTGGTTATAGCTCTGCGCCTCTCCTAATGCAGACATCCATTAGAGAACCTCGTAGT